TTCGGATAAGGATGAAGAGTCATTCCTGTCAGTACTTTATCACTGTACTCGCCTGTAGTTGTAGTACTACTAGTTTGTTTGATTTTCACATGATACATGTGGAATCTTTAAAATTTTTTTTATGCAATCCCTGAAATTGATCGGACAATAGGAAGCGAAGTGGCACATTGAAATTGAAAATTTTTTATTTTTATAACTCGTTTTTCCCCATTAAAGTGTATCGTTATCATATATTTTAGTACCTCTTTGAATTCGTCTTTTTACACTTCATGGGGATATAGAAACAAAATTAAAAATTCTTCATTTTTTATAAGTCACGAAAAAGGTATACTTTTTCGCATTATACAGTGTTCGGCCACTCCTGGAAATAATTTTACCGGGAGATTCCAGAGGCCAAAATAAGACGAAAATCAAGAATATCAATTTGTTAATTGAGGTTTCGTTGAAAAGTTATTAAAAAATTAAATTAAAAAATTTCAAATCATTCTGGAAAAATTATTTTCTCAATTAACAATCAATTGCAATCATTTTTGGTGAATAGACATATCCCTGAAATTCTAACCATTTTCTAGAAAAAAATTCGAGAAGGTGTAAAATTTTTCGACTAAATTAAAAAATTTCAAATCGTTCTAAAAAAATTATTTTTGGTTGCAGGGGTCAATTACAATCATTTTTGGTCAATAGACATACCCCCGAAATCCTACGTACTTTCGAGAAAAAAATTCAGTACGGGCGGAACTGTAAACGTTAATAATTTTTTAACGAAGCCTCCATCAACAAATTGGTATTCTTGATTTTCGTCCTATTTTGGCCTCTAGAATCTCCTATTAAAATTTTTCCCAGGGTTGGCCGAACACCCTGTATAATGTTCTATTCTTTGTAATCAGATCTGTGTCAGTCTAATGGTCCCAATAAATAAGAATTACTGCGTGTTGATACTAACAACGTTTATTTGTTAATAATTCTAACAAAGTAAAGATGTCACGTTTATGGTAACTAGGACTGACCTTACAATTAGATTGGACTGGAACTGAGCTATTTCTGAAGAAATTGCGGTGGGCTTTTAAGGATTCTGAAAGTAGAGATGGAGGGAATAGAACAGGGTAAGGTTTTAGACGCAGTGAGAGAGGCTTGAACTTGAAAATATTTCTCCAGATGACAATTTATGTATGTAATAGATACGTGTGGATACATTACATCAGTCTCTGTAATCAAATTAATCAAATCTAATTATATAGATCTGTAATCTATACAAATTGAAAAAACAGACTTTTCGAGTACAATTTAAAACAAAATGTTTTGGTGTGGAATTATTGATAACAGTTTATTAGGTTCATATTTTTACAATGGAATTCTAAGTGGAAATAAGTATTTACTATTTCTAAATTGTGAATTGCAAAATTATTAGGAATCACTGCCATTGTTTCTTGTATAAGACGTGTACTTCCAACAAGATGGAGCTCCTCCGCCTAATTGTAGATTCGTAAGTTGCATAATATGTTTAACAATAAATGGATTGGAATATACGGACCTGTAACATGACCTGCAAGATCCCTCGATTTGCTTCGATCTCCCTCGATCCCTCTGCTAAATTTTTGTTTGTGGAGATATATTGAAGATATTGTTTACACTTCATCATCGAGAAACTTAGACGACTTGCAAACTAATTATAAGATAAAAGAGGCGTGTGCAACTTCCTCCTCTTCCGTTTTTTTCTTAATGTTTACCGTTTACGAAAAAAACACTAATACAAATTATCGTAAACACCCTGTATATTAGCCACTATGTTAGGAATTGTAATTCTATTTAAATACGAGCGCTTGTTTAGGGGCGAATAATCGATTGAGTTCTATTTCGATGAGTTTTTATCAGGCATGTTTTTCTGAAAATTTCTTCGTTCATTCTGTTTTCGTACATCGATCTAAGCACGATCGTTTCTTAGAAAAAATCTTTGTACAAATGGAGGGCGGTTTGGTCCGATTAGGGTGAGTCTCCATTCGCAGTAACTTCCAAATTGGTGAGATCTGAGTAATCAATATTATTTAGCGTGTAATTAATAATGGTATCGCTCTTAGCTGGGTAATAAGTTTATTGATTGCATAGTAAATAATATAAGCAAATCGGCTGCGATCATCGTACAGTTTCTCATGTAGCTTCTCCTCTAAATCTAAATTGTTCAGCATTTCGATCGTTTTCAAATCGTAACTCTCGCTAGATTTAATAAAAGCGTATGAGTAGCTGAATTCAACGTGTACCTTTTAGAGAGTAATTTTATCCATAGTATAAATTTTAAATTATTTCGAATCTATTTTTAGAACAGAAATAAATTTCTCTTTGTGAGAATAATTCCACTTCTATGCAGTTAAATTATGCTCACACAGATTATACTCCGTGCTGGAGGAAATTGTTGTATCTTTAGCCTTGGCAGATGATTTTTTTTTTAAATAAAGATAAAGCTTCAGTCTATGAAATACAACCAAAGTAAACACTGCATCTCACTGCATTCATAATTACAAATTATTTTTAAATATCGATATAAAAACGAAATTTAGAATAATTCATGTATGTACCAGGTATACGTGATTCTGTCACTTACTATTTAATTTAAAAAGAATTTTTTTTCCGTTTTTCCTTTAAAACTACAACAGGCTTAGAGGAAGCCTTCCAGTGATTTTAAGAAATTACGTATTGTCGCGAGCAGATAAAACTCTCAGCAGAGTCTCCTTTCTTCCTCCGTTGATTTCTTTGTGGAGGTTATTGATCTGTCATTCGATCGAACTTAACTCTTTGGGGCATGCTGAGACTAAAAGTGTTCCACCTTTTTGATGCTCCGTAATACATGGTGGGACATTTTTAGTCCCACCTCGAAATATTGTAATAGCTGTATGTGTATAGGTTTATACACTAAGGAGCAAAACTGAACACACATACGACATTTTAACAAAACTAATTTTTTATTCAATATTTGCATGTAGTATACAAAAGAAACAAAATAATTAGTATAATATTATCTACAATCTTTTGGTTTTTCAAAACAAATTTAACATTTGCGATATTATTATTATTGTTTCGCTTCGTACTATTTCTTTTTGTGTAGTCGGTTTTGCATCGCAACTAATTCTTGGTAAACATTTCCGATTTTGGTACACTTAATATTTCGTTCATAAAATTTTAATCTCGATAATTGCTTCCATACGTTTAGATATACTTAATACTACAGTTTCGCAATACCCTGGTGCAATAAAATTGCATCGATATAACGTTATAAAATTATTATCTAAAGATATAAAGACTAATATCATTTTCCAATTAAAATTGAGCTTATCAACGAAAGTGATAAAATGTAACGAAGTCAAGATACATTTGAAGTAATAAGAGAAGATTGATAAGATGCGTTACTTCCGAAATTGCAACGACAGCATCAATGACTGCAAAGCTATTAGAAAGCGATGTTGGAAAGGAATTTAGTAACTAGACAGCTCGAAGAGCATTAAAAGAAGCCTATTTTACAGCAATCGAGAAGAAAAAAAACCTGCCCTATCGGAAAAGAATGTCAAGGCCCGTCTGAATTTTTCAAAAAAAAAAAACATTTAAGCTGGAATATAGAGCAATGGAAAAAAGTAATTATTTCTACTGAATCAAAAATCAATCGAATTTTATCGGATGGATGTTGTTGGTGTTGGAAAAAACAAGACGAACCTCTTATACCGCGTCATGTGAAGCAAACAATGCAATTTGGTAGTGAGTCAATTATAGTGTGGGGTTGTATTACTACGTATGATGTAGGATCACTACATCGAACAAAAGGTACGGTGAACCAGTCAGTATACGTATAAGGATATTTTAGAAACAAATTTTCTAGAAACAATTGAAAATATGCCAGTATCAGAGTCGATGCTATACTCCAACATGACAACGCTCCTAGGCATTGCGCGAACAGCGTGAAGAATTGGCTGCAAACTCGACTATTTCAAACCATGGAATGGCCTGCTCAAAGGCTAGGCATAAATGTAAATGTCTGGGCATACTTGAAAATGAAGCTAGAGAATAAATATAGTGCTCACCCAACAACGATAACTGATTTGTGACAAAGAGTGCAAGAACAATGGTATTCGATTACACCAGAGTATTACGATAGTCTAGTATTAAGTACGTCTAAACATATCGAAGCAATTATCAAGGTTAAAGGTTTATGAACGAAATATTAAGTGTATCAAAATTTGAAATGTTTACTCAAAATTAGTCGCGGTGCAAAACCGATTGCAGGAAAAAATATCGTACGAAACGAAAGAAATAATGGTATCGCAAATGTTAAATTTGTTTTGGAAAGCCAAGAAATTTTAGGTAATACTAAGTATTTTGTCTTCTTTGTATTCTACATGCAAATATTGAATAAAAAATTACTTTTGTTAAAATGTCGTATGCGTGTTCAATTTTGCTCGTTATTGTATTTCGTCTTATTTTCGTAAAGCAGTTGGTAATATTTTCAACAAATATTGCAAATGTATTCACTTGTGTTGGCAACATTCAACATGCCAATACAGGTTCATCAATTGTTGCAAGCGGAAGGTTTATTGCGACAAAAATTAAACTATTACTATTTTTGTATGTTTTATATTATGTGATACCTTTATGAATAAAAATATACCAATTTTGTTTAATTTAAAACGCAATAAAATTTCTATGCAACATGGGTCTATTTTATTGTCTGAAATCCTGCGCCGCAAAGAGTTAATAAGCGGTAAGAAAAATCATGTCGAATCATGGTCCATGTGCTCAATTAACTATAGATTAATAAATTTTTTGGTATGGGAACCATTTTTGAAAAAGACTTTTTACCGCGTTTAGTATGTAATGGCCTCACTGTGCGACGCAGCGTCTGCCGCACAGGAGGCGTTGCGACGCACGCGCGCATCCATCGGCGTAGGATTGAGCGCCCACGGAGTCCGTCGAAGGTGCACGGCGGCTCAAATTCGGTGCTCAGTCGCGCTCGAGGTGGCTCACCCCGACGGTCGCGGTGATAAGTATTTTCGCGGCGACATCGTGGCGGCGACGACGCGATGCCTCCTCTGCACGTGGCACGGTATCGGTCTGGGAACAACGAGTGAAATGCAACCCCCGTTACAATTGTGTGACACGAACGATACACGCGACGTGGAAACGATGACAGGGGTGCGTGGACACGCGTCGCGGCACCCTGGACGGTAACGTCGACCGATTGGCTTTGCCAGATATCTCTTTAACCCTCGATGTCTCCGAATCTCGCGAGCCACGTTGACGAACGAAGAACCACCGATTCGGGTGATTCTTCTTTCGTATACAATCGTTTCCGGTGAACAGGAAGAGATACGATCGGAAGGAAACGCGTAACAAGAGGATTCGCCGTCGTTTCGCTGAGTGTATACTTCAACGTGTTCGGGTGAAAGAACTGTGATATAAAAATCAATTAGCTCGAAATCAAAGACGGATACGCGTGGATTGTTTATCGTTAGTACGGTTGATCGGCGGAGAAAGTTTCCAACATCCCGGTAATGCGAATTTTCGAGGGATAACTTCTTCCTTCTGTTGTAACTCGAGGTGTTAGGTAGCGAACGCTAAGTATTCTCGTGCTCGGTGTACAAGCAGTGAGACTACTATTTCGGGAGACGGTGATAAGTTAATTAGTATTGATTGTATACTCGACCGGGAGGAGTGATTAGAGGAATGATTTTGCTCGAGACGTTCCTGAATTGTTCTTCAAAGAGTTTTACCTTTCGTCCATTTGTCCTTGGAACGAAACGAGTTTACTTACTAAAGGTTGTTCGAGTTTCATGCGGGAGTCTCGCGTGTGCAGATGTCTTTGATCGGTGTAGGCGAAGTTGCCGCGACAGATTGAAAGATAGGAGTATAAACGCGGCACCGATCTTTCTTTGTGGTAGAAGATGCAGAATCTCTTTGAACCGTAACAAAAGTAACGTTGAAACGGAACTCTCGTTTGAAACAAATTTATGCTGCCCGAAACAACTAAGGAGTATCAAATTTCTGGACAGTTGGGAGGGTCAATTAAAATATCAAGTAAATTTGATTCTTATTTGTAAAGCATATAATTTAAAATTGTCATTTCCGTACATAATCCTTCAATTATTTTCAACTTGGTAATCCAGTTTCAGTTTGTTTCTCTGTGTGTGAATACACTTATTCAATTGTTTAAAATAGGAGCAGAATTGGTCTTTTTCTTTCGATTTATTTTTAACATTGGTTAGACTAAACAATCAAGTTTTTATTTGTGTATTGTAAAATATTTTATTCTATAATACATACATTTATTAACACATAAACTGGTGGTTATTCTTATTCTTTAATTCGTAATTTGAAAGTTTTATCTAGGCAAGAATTTTGTTCATTCCTAGTAAGAAGATGGGAAGTATTTCCGAATGGTAATAAAAGTAAAATTGAAATGAAATTTCGAATGAATTTGTGTTATATAAAGAATTGCCAAGTATTACGTTTCTGGAAAATTGACGATATAATTCAAATATCGAGTAAAATTTAATTTATGCAGTGTATAAACTTCAATTGTTTAATGCTGCGTAAATCCCGTTTCAATTTTTTCTCTCGTTGGAAATATGTACACATCTGAAATACTGTAACATAAAAATCGAAATCGAAATCGATCCTTTCCTTTAGGTGCGATTGACCGGCTGAAAACGATGTGAGATTATTCAGACGATAACGAAAGCCAAGGAAAAAAGTCTCGTTCGAAAGAAATTGGATTACGGTGCAAGTGTCTTTAGTCTGGAAATCTTCTTTTAAAACGGTTGTTCTTCGTATTTGTAAAGAGTTACGTCATCCGTACTTACATTCCTATTCTGGAAGAACAAAGTAGTCCTTCTTCAAGCTCTTTCAACTCTTTTAATAGGCTCCATTGATTGGTGTTACACATATATCGTCCAAACGAGTTTCTGGGAACACGACGAAACAATTTTGCTCTCTGTGGCATTAAACGGATGAAACACGTAAGGTTGGATGGGAAGGACGATTTTAGCGATTTCAGAAGTGTACCATTGCTTAAAAGTTTCAGCGATCCCTCGGGAATTTTCGAGAGTTTGAATTGTTCCTTGAATGTGAAACTGTTCCACTCGAGACGCGTGAATGTACAATGCTGAGAAGCGTATTAAGGCGGAATTCCGGTGTTTGAACGAAAAAACGATTCTTTATTAATAGCATTTTTTAAAAAGCTTAAAGTCTTGAACTTACGTTGTTAACATTTTATGATTATATTCCAACTTGAAGAAGTTACAGCCTTTTTGAAGAACACAATAGACAGATCGTAAAAATACATTTCTAAACTTTAAAACCGCATTTCTCGGTACAATTTTTCTTGACACGATGGTGATAAAATCTCGAAAAATAATCATATACTTTGCTTGAAATTTTAAATTAACAAACATCTGTCTAGTATCATTGTAATATTAGTTACAATTTAGCTATTATTAAGTAAACAATTATTCATTTTTTAGACACAATTTGAAGGTTGTCATTTTTTTATTTTTTAAATAATTCTAGTACCAACGATAACTGCATTTGTACAGATTAAGAATACTTTATTTAGTTTAATTGTAATTATACACATTTATAGTTTAGATATTTTAAAAAAGTGGTATCAAATTAGAATTTCTTGTAATAATTTGTTTCTAAAATATACGTTCCTGAAAGTAAGTTAAAAGTGCTTTATTTTGTCATTTAAGAACTCTGTCTTAATTTCAGTTCGGTTCCCTACATAAAAAAGCATCACATTAATCTTTTTTTTTTATTCAATATAATAAAACTTTTCCCTGCTTTCATGCTATGAGTTTGTTTAATGCTCTCCTTTTCATTGTTGCACAATGCGCATTCTTCGTTAGAAGGATGTAAAAAAAAACTGTTACTCATAATGAATTTGCGAAACAATGCGTATTTTTCACGAGGATTGAAGCGTTCATCAAATCTATCTTCGACTATAAAAGCCGTAAGATTTAAATAAACCATTAATATAAATGTACGGACATTTCTTCGATGACATTGCACAACTCTGTATTTATTTTATCGAGTGGGTAGCAATGGTAACTAAATAGTAGATATTCAGTGAGATATACCTTTTTGTATGTGTTTCTTTCTAAAAAAATGTAACTATGCAAGTGCAAGATGCAGTTGCACTATTTCTTTAAACGAAACTATGCATTCTTTTCTATATAAATCGATTCCTCTTATCATTCTGCGTATAAAAGCGTGGAGGCACGTAAGTACATCGAATAGCGAAAACTGTACCAGATATTCCGAAAGGAAGCACGTTTAAAGTTGCGCTTGCGAAATAAAGAATCTGTCTGCTTTTAAATGTTTTATTCAAAAGAATTCGCTTTTCGATATATGTTCTTTAATATATTTGCACACAGAACGATGAAGAACAAAAGTTACGCAGAAAGAATGTGGAGTTTCATTTAAAAAAATGATGCAATCGTATCTTGCATCCGCGTCGTTGCATTTCCGGGAAAAGTGGGATCATAAAAAGTTAGATCATCTTAAACCCTGGAACTGTTTCTTCTACCATTTTCTTTTTTATTTCCTACCGAAAAAGGAGGCTTGCCCTAGTTTCTAAAATCGCCCTATTGAAAGAGATACATCAGTTACGCATGCCTAATGGTATAGAGCAATTGTTCTTAATCTGTGGTTTTGAACATAGAAATTTTAAATATTTGTTTTCCTTGCATACATCATACCTAAAAATATGAACTATCATCTTTTCAATGCTTTGGCAATATGATAGCTGTTAGACTAAAATAAATCTTCCAATCCAATGCCATGAGCTTAATGTCTAGTTCAGAGAAATTACAAGCTTTCTTAGCTAAGCTGCTGATATAAAGAGAGTCGTAGAGCTTGACATCTTTGCAAAATGCTCTGACAATATCGTTTTAAGAAACGAATTTTGCAAACACCTGAAAATCTACAGAATTCTATTGACAATTATTTTTACCTCGATGGCATCAAAGTTGAATGTGAATCCACAATCCTTTTCAGTCTAATCTAAATTCTATCGAAGATGTACATCTAGCCATAAACTTGTTGATTTTAGGACCAAAAATTTGGTAACATTCAAATTAAAAGCGTCTTGGAGGAATTTGATATTCCTTGTAGGTTTATCCTTGTCTTGTAGGGTAATCTGTGTAAGTTTTCATTCTGTTTGGTGCGTTATATCTGAAGAAGTCAGGATTTTCAACATTAATTTAAAGTTTCCATGAGCATCGTTAGACTACCAAAAGGATATCCGTGGAAAGAAACTGTTAAAACCACTGGTATAGAGTATTTAAATACCAAGAATTACAGGAAAAGTCGGTCTAAAGATCCATTATAGCACAAATTGGTTTCATAAATCTGGTCTAAGAAATTTCATTTACCAAGGAACCAGGTAATAACTAATGACGATAAAAAAGTGCCTCAAACTTTCAGAAGCAACATGTAATTTCGGTTGTTCCAAGGATCTTGGGACGAATGTGACCCAGTTAGTTATACTAAACGACGCTAAGAAGATTGGAGCGAAGACGTTGATCGATGGAATGTGTCACAAAATTGACATAGTTATTGTAAACGTGTATCGCGCGCGCATGAAACCAAACCACGATTTATCGTCCTAATTGCGGTCCTCGTCTTTTTGCCGCGACGGAATCGACGATCGTGCTTCGATTGGCAGTAGTGTGTGATAATTTGCTCGTCAGTGGACGATGACAGGTGATAGAGTTGACGTAAAAGTGGACAAAAACCGTTTTCTAAGCCATTAGATCTCGACTTTATTAGCGAAATAACGCGATGCGTTGTCATCGAGACGCGACGACTCTGCACCGTGTCGAAATCGCGTTTACTCGAGAAGAGTAGGGTAAGGTTGCCTAAACTGGATTATTTTCGACATTCTCTGAAAATTATTCTAACATTTTGGCCAATTGAGTCAGTTTTATTCATTAACTGCTACATTCATATTACGCAAATATTTTCAACTATAGGGTTAACCAAAAAGTAACGTTGGAATTTTTCGTAAGAAAAAGTAGCCATTTAAAAAAAAATATAGGTAACTTCATTGAGCAATGTGTTAACTATTCTGATCCACAACTTTCTGCAATCTCGGTCGTGAATGAGTTATATTTGTACCTGTCACACTCACTCTTGTCTTCGTCACAATGCTTTTCGATATTAATTCGTCCTTTCTTGATTTTCTTCTTCGTATCTTTAATTGAGTTTTCAATTCTGATTCCTTTCTTTTTCTTTGGAAACGTTCCAATGTCCGTTTCACTTCTAAAACTACGAATCCTTCGTTATTTAACTATTCGTTCCATTTCTATCTCTCCTCTTTTCTTATAAGTTTTTGAAGGACTTCGTTATAACCAGCTTAAAAAATTTCTCACCAGTATTGTTGTTATTTTTAAGTTTCAATAGAGTTTTCCAAAGGACTGCAGCCCCATAATATCCCTTATTCACTTTTGAAATAACATATTGCGGCGCTTTTAATTAGATAGCCTTTGCATGCTTTAAAGATTTACAATTATAATTATACTGCAATTGGTTGGTAATTTCCGTGTGATAACACATAATTGTATTATGACAAGTAGAAACAGATTACGTTTTGCCCAACTCTGGCAACAAGTTCCTCATACACTTTAATCCTCTCGATTAATCTTTCCTCTACGTTTAATCTCCTACCTTGCCACGATCTGTCACTGTCATTTCGGTGACAATAAACGAAAACCTTATTCTAGTTTAATCATTTCTCAAAATATCTGATGTAACCTTCGACTCCACAAAGAATTTCTCGCCTCGCACAATGATCGAAGTCCAAATAATCCATATATGCCAAAAACTCCTATATTCTGTGAGAAATATCCCTTCATTTCGTCAAAAATTATTTTTCACTTATTTTACAAACTGAAATATTTTATTTGTTACAATAAGTTTTTTAAATAGTATTTCATTTGAAAAATACCAAAAATAATTAAGTGCCTAATCATAACTGTTTTATCTTGTCTACAACACGGTCAAAATTCGTTTCCGTTCATAATTACAATATCATTCTACTTCTTAACACAACACAAAGATTTTTACACCTGCAGTTGTCTTTCATATAAAGGTCTTCACTTTGACGTACACTCGTATCTACGCAATACAATACACCTTAACTATGAATTTCATGTCAACAACTCCTAGAGCATGAATGGCGAATCCATTCTCTCCATTCTTGCACTTCACTCCACCAAATTCTCTACTTCCTTCTCATATGCAGCGTCTCACTATTACACTCCCTTACCTAGTCGCAATTTGCTTACTTCCGACTACACTAGAACCCCGATTATTGCAACCACGATTATTGCACGAGTACGTCGTTCGAGCAAAGTTGAGGGGGGAAATAACTGTTGGCAATAGTTTATTAATTTTAGTCTTTGAGCTTAGAAATGGCCTTAATTTCATATTTTACTTTCAGTATTTAACTTTTTACTACTCTTATCTTAACCGTTTAGTTACGTTTACTTCCTTGGTGTATAAGTACTCAGCAACTTTAACGCTCCTATCCTATTTCTTCAGTTCTCTAAATTCCTTAGCTAATTTACATTCTTTATGTTATATCTAATTTCTAAAAATTCTTTTACGCTTATTCTACTGATAAGGAAAGGGCCTACCATGACTTCAATGAACTTGTTATATAGTTATATGCAATTATACACTACTACTTTCGCCATGAATTTCAGTTTCTATCTATTTTTAGAACGAGTTTCAAAGACGCAGTCGTATTTTCAGTGTAAAAAATATTCCTATGAACCGTTATTTCCTTAATTTTATATTTATCATGGAGGAGCAACAATGATTTACATATGATAATAATAACAATTATGCCTAACCTAGTGTGGTACTGAAAGGCAAGTTCAAGATTCACGAACAAGCGTGTAGAAAATTCGACTAAAAGAAAGAGAGGGTTCAGGATAAAAGTTTCAGTCGAGTATTTTTTGAAGCAAGTAGTGCAGAGTAGAAGCTCGATTACGACAGGAAATCAAGACTGAAACTTCTGGCGTCTATGTTGATGCAATAATCGAGATAGCCAATTTAACGAGAAGAAATCTTCACTTATACGTTTAAACAGTACCAGAAACGGAGTCTACCAGTGATATTAAAAGAAAATTTACTATTTTCTATACTATCTTGTGAACAATAAATAAATTAATGTATTAGAAGCGTAGCTTGTGCTTCGAAAATTGTCGATGAAAGTTTCGTATTTTCAGTAATAGTTTTCCTGTAAGTCGTTATTTACTTCATCATTACAGTAACGAGCAAAACTGAACACACACACACGACATTTTAATAAAAGTAATTTTTTATTCAATATTTGAATGTAGAATACAAAGAAGACAAAATATTTAGTATTACCTAAAATTTTCTGGCTTTTCAAAACAAATTTAACATTTGCGATACCATTATTTCTTTCGTTTCGTACGATATTTTTTCCTGTAATAAATTTTGAGTAAACATTTCAAATTTTGGTACACTTAATATTTCGTTCATAAACCTTTAACCTTGATAATTGCTTCGATATGTTTAGACGTACTTAATACTAGATTTTCATAATACTCTGGTGTAATGGAATACCATTGTTCTTGCACTCTTTGTCACAAATCAGTTATCGTTGTTGGGTGAGCACTATATTTATTCTCTGTCTTCATTTTCAAGTATGCCCAGACATTTACATTTATGCCTAGCCTTTGAGCAGGCCATTCCATGGTTTGAAATAGTCGAGTTTGCAGCCAATTCTTCACGCTGTTCGCGCAATGCCTAGGAGCGTTGTCATGTTGGAGTATAGCATCGACTCTGATACTGGCATATTTTCAATTGTTTCTAGAAAATTTTTTTTTTAAATATCCTTATACGTATACTGACTGGTTCACCGTACCTTTTGTTCGATGTAGTGATCCTACATCATACGTAGTAATACAACCCCACACTATAAGTGAACACTACCAAATTGCATTGCTTGCTTCACATGACGCGGTATAAGAGGTTCGTCTTGTTTTTTCCAACACCAACAACATCCATCCGATAAAATTCGATTGATTTTTGATTCAGTAGAAATAATTACTTTTTTCCATTGCTCTATATTCCAGCTTAAATGTTTTTTTTTTTTTGAAAAATTCAGACGGGCCTTGACATTCTTTTCCGATAGGGCAGGTTTTTTTTCTTCTCGATTGCTGTAAAATTGGCTTCTTTTAATGCTCTTCGAGCTGTCTACTTACTAAATTCCTTTCCAACATCGCTTTCTAATAGCTTCGCAGCCATTGATGCTGTCGTTGCAATTTCTGAAGTAACGCATCTTCTCTTATTACTTCAAATGTATCTTGACTTCGTTACATTTTAACACTTCCGTTGATAAGCTTAATTTTAATTGGAAAATGATATTATTCTTTATATCTTTAGATAATAATTTTATAACGTTATATCGATGCAATTTTATTGCACCAGAGTATTGCGAAACTGTAGTATTAAGTATATCTAAACGTATGGAAGCAATTATCGAGGTTAAAATTTTATGAACGAAATATTAAGTGTACCAAAATCGGAAATGTTTACCAAGAATTAGTTGCGATGCAAAACCGACTACACAAAAAAAAATAGTACGAAGCGAAACAATAATAATAATATCGCAAATGTTAAATTTGTTTTGAAAAACCAAAAGATTGTAGATAATATTATACTAACTATTTTGTTTCTTTTGTATACTACATGCAAATATTGAATAAAAAATTAGTTTTGTTAAAATGTCGTATATGTGTTCAGTTTTGCTTCTTACTGTATTATACGACATTGCTGTACTAATAAGAATTTCTTAACGTGGTCGAAATTAGGCAACCTTAGCCTATAGCTCGAACGGTTTCCGATAAAGACTGTCCGCGAGGAGGATGGAGGAAACTCGCGATCGACTGGGCAAGAGTTACGGAAATGCGCGTCTCGGATCGCGACGACGACGACCTCGACGAGGCGAACGGCGTTCATGTCGAGTTTCAAAGAGGACCCGGAGCAAGGTCCAAGTTCGCGTTGCCCGGTGATTCGAGGACGAAAGCCAGCGGCTCAAGTCTCCGCCGACTCTGAGCACTCTAGACGATTGAATGGATGATAGGGTGAAACACGCTAGAAACGATGCCTGGTATCGTGGTGTTCCGACGCCGGTGGAGCGTCGGCAGCGACGACCTCGTCGTGCCCGGTGCTTTCCTGTTCATCCTGCATTTGATATGGTGAGTGAACATCTTGATATTAATATCGGGACTCCCGATCAATCACTTTGACCCGCTAACGATCGGCCTGTCCGCACGTTTTCAAGAATTCTCGGCGGCAGGATATTTGCGGGCAGTTACACGTAATTATAGCGCCTCCTTGAAATAGGATACGTTCGCGGATAATTCCGCGTGACCTACATCTTAGGCATCGGTGGGTTTACATGCGCGTTATATTTCGATTAATTGATAGAGATATATTCTCGTCGCGTGATTTCCGGTGCTTAATTACCATCGTAAGTCGATATAATCGATTCGTGTGGATAGATGTGGATACTAGGATGTACTATGTTACGTCATCGTCGAGCATGAATCTACGAATCGTACGATTAATTATTTTACTGTGGAATTAAATGCGATTACTCGTGACGAGGAATTTCGATTACGATGCTCCAGCATCTTTTATCGCGACACGCCTATGAGTTCGAGGTTTTGCACCAGTGTGTTCCAAAGGGGGAGGATGCTTTACGATCTACGAGGGGCGCGAAAGAATGTTATTAATGAAGAAAAATGCGAATTACTTAAACATATTTTTCTATTAAAACTTTCATTATATAGGTTTTAACTACTGCAGGAGTATATTAGAAGTAAAATGATAGCTAGGTGAATTTTTGACACTTGACATCATGCAACTGTTATATTTAATAATGTTTCCTATAACACATAATTTGTGTAGTTGCATATTATAGTATATAGTATACTAAACATTTTTTTTTTATGAAACTGATGGCACTGGGTAATCAATTTCTTGTTATACGAGGCAAATTTTCCATAAACGAAGCCAGTGGTTCAATTTCTACGTTTATAATCGATGAAGGTTAATACGTTTTTATACCAAATCCAGTTTATACCAGTTTCATGTAAAAAATTACTGTTTATCTTTCGAACTACAAAGAGCCCCTATCTAGGAAAAAAATTGACACGCTGCCAAAAAACTCACTCGATATCATGCAATTATTATATTTAATAATATTTCTTATAACACACAATTTGTGTAGCCGCATTAAAGAAATAGTTTATGCTCGTCTTCAATTAAAAGATAATACATATTGTATAATCATTCGAAGAAATTCGTCTGGCAAGAATCTATGTTTCGACATCAAGGAGGGTATTTTTAGCATTTTATAATCTATTAAAATAAATAAATTATTAAAATTTACTGCTTTATTTAATCTCATATTAAATACCACTTAATTGAAACGACTTCAATGCAAATGAAGCTGCCGGTAATAGCTATTATAATATAAGTTTGTTCTTATTAGCAATATTACTATTCTTCTTCTTTTATGTATTTACGTATAATTTTATTTTATTATATCTAAAAAACTTTGTTCCATTAATAATACATAATAAAGGTAATGCTCATTTTAAAATTGTGTAGGTTGCCCATAGTCGTTCAGTAGGACGTTTCAAGTAGAATATCGTATACCTATAATGTATGCAAAAAGAGTTATTAGGCATCGATGCGGTGGGATTATTATTAGCGATGATCAAAGGGTAATTTTCGCGTCACGACCGCTCGTGTTCGTACATCTTAGCTTCGGAAAATCGTTAACGAACGTGGTAAATGACCCGGGATAGAGGGGTAAGGATAGCAGAGAAATTGGCGATCGTCCATTTCGTTTTCGTCGTTCTTGTAAACTCGCGTCTCTCGATATGTCGATGCAGCAACATGGCTTCTTCGTATTTCCTTTCACCCTCAGCAACACGATCGATAAAATTTCAATTAAAACAACTTTCAGCCGTTGTTCATGCTTGTACATAATCTTACTCGAATGTACAACCAATTTTCTCCCCTGTCAAGCGTATTGTTCCATGAATTTGCATATGTGCAATAACCAAACTTTATTTCAATAAATTAAAAGTGTGCTTGTCTTTCGGGGATTATCGAATTTCTTTTAAATACAGGGCGAACGACATAACGGTATCAACCATTTTGGAATCTTTCGATATAAGTTTGTTGAACAATTACTCTAAAGCAGATTAATACAGTTTGTTTTGAGCTTGGATTTTTTTAAGGCTTTCATAGAATGAATTTATTGAATTTGTTCTCTTCTGTGCCTTCATAATAACAAATAGGAAATACAATATTTTTAAAAAATTGGATTGTACTTCGTTATTTTTCACAGCTTTATTTGAAAAATTGTAAAGTAGTAGATGGTCTTATCTGATATAATAAATCGCTGACTTCGTGACTTAAAAAATTGTTGCAAATTTCAACAGTCACTATCTTTTTTTCAATTGAATTTAACGTTGTATTAATTGCACCAAAGTGACGATAGTTTAATTATTTAGACTAGTTTTTTTTAAGTGGGGGCACGATGATTATGAAGGAATTACATTATAGTATTAGTATATTTGTCTTGTGTGATTTTAAATTTATTATTTATATCAGATCCGCAAAATTTCCTTTTTTTTTTTTAAGAGATATCTCCCAAAAAGTTTGTAAACTATTGTTTTAGGCAGGTGTGGGGCGTGGCACGAATCAAACATTATTCAGAGACATTGTGACTTTGAAAAATAATATTAACAGTTGAGATCGTTGAAATATTCTCTTGGATTAGTTCCAATTGGTATTTATTCCGAGATTCAGAGTATTTACTGCAATTGAATATAATATATTTTATCGTAGTTTGTTTATTGCATTCATCAAACATTGGAGGATTTGTTTTGGAAACTAATTATGAGTGTGTGAGTTTGGTGTGGTTGACCTTAATTAATTATTTTGGTTATTAAATATTAATTGGTTATCTAATACTGTTCCCACTTTCTGCGTTTTCGTCATTGCTTCATCTTTATTTATACTAAAAAATTATTTGGTTACTGCCAAAGTAAGTTTTCATTTATTATTTGGAAAAATGTGTTGCATGGTGATATTTACGTTTGAAATAGAATAAATTTATGTTATTTTGAAATCAATTTCATTCATTCTTTTTATCTCAAACATATTTTATAAGATTGAAAATCTTAGTTATCAATCAATCCTCGTAATTTTGCAATTTCCTAGAGTTCATCTCACTCTGTTACTTACTAGTTTCTTCATTAATTTACGCATGGTATGTAGCAATTCTATTGAAGGCTAATTATCAGGATTAGTGAAGCTTTTCCTGGATCGGCTATCAGTATTACAATAGCAGCATTCCATTGATCGCAGATTATCCCAAATTCCCATATAATGTCGAATAATTTAATAATGTTGACTAGCATAAGCATATATTATATTCTGATAAGTGGTAGAATACAACATTGTACTTTTAATTAGTATTTTTCTACGAACAGAATATGTAATCAATACGTTCTTAATTATGATTGCTATCATTGAAGTTCATAGTATAGGATATGCATAGATACATATAATTTGATGTATATCTGCCACTCAATATAGTGATACATATGTTTTTTTTATAGACAAATAGAAATTTCAAGTAAAAGTACGTGATATTTCCTATTCCATTGTGTGTTTATTAAGAAACTGTTAGCATCCTACACTTAGAAGCATGAAGGAAATAATTTTACAATTTGAACATCGTAAATAATTTTTATTTAAAAGTCAATAAATTCCAATTTCTTTTTTAATCCTTTACTTTACACGAAGTATTTTCTTCTTCCTCCTTGTCTTTTTTTTCTTCTCATAAACTCATATTATAATCTTTCCAATTTACTATTGAAATGGAAACGAATATGAAAACAGAACGTTTAAAATACCAATATATTTTAATCGGTATCAGATCCTACAAGCAATTTTCATCAAGTTCATGCAAATACTTAAATACTATGAATTTCCTTACAAACGGTTTCTACTTTGTTAAGTCAAAAAAAAAACAAATTTCTTTTTTCCATTTTTTTAAAATATATACATTCAAAAATATACAGTTTATATTTCATAAAAAAATTCGTAAAATCTAGAGTTATGAGGAAATGGAACCCTGGTACAGACTTACACAAACTGTATCTAAAACTTAGATGCGTTTTTCATAACAAGAAAACAACAATAAAACAGTAATATTTATCACTAATGAAATTTTCAACCATTATCTTTGTACGCATAACGTTTTGCTCATGTTGTTTCACAACCTATTGAATTCGAATATCAGTTATCAAAGTATGGTTGGTAGCCTAAGAAATATACAGGGTGTTCGGCCACAGGGTGATTCTAGAGGCCAAAATAAGACGAAAATCAAGAATACTAAACTGTTGATAGAGGTTTCGTTAAAAAGTTATTAACGTTTAAAGTTCCGCCCGTAATTAATTTTTTTCTTGAAAGTGGGTAGGATTTCGGGGGTAGGTCTATTCACCAAAAATTATTGTAATTGACCCCTGCAACCAAAAATAATTTTTTTAGAACGATTTGACATTTTTTAATTTTGTCGAAAAATTTTACACCTCCTCGAATTTTTTTCTCGAAAGTGGGTAGGATTTCGAGGGTATGTCTAATGGCCAAAACTGATTGTAATTGACCCCCATAATCGAAAATAATTTTTCCAGAACGATTTGAAATTTTTTTATCGCCGAAAAAATTTAGGCACCTATCCTCTTTGTCGATTTTTCTTAATAATTCGTTTTCATTTTTAATAAATTTGTTTGATGCTTTACAAAAAAGTTGTCTAATAGTTTTTTGTAGGCACTCATGAGCTCTGCTTCAGAAAAAAGTTTCATTGAAATATGTTCACTATTGTAGGAATTATGGTCGTTTGAAAATTGGACCAGTTTTAGGCGGTTTTTCTCACTTTACAGTGTCAAGGAACAACTTTTTCAATATTGTTAGAATTTCTACATATTTTTCACTAAAATATGCGTTATTTGCTTTTTGGAACATTAAAATCCATCAATCCGTTCAGAAGTTATGACGTTTTAAAGATACGCAAGAAATTTTGAAGTGACATTTCTAACCTGAAATTATATTTTCGGTAAGAAATTTTTTTTCTCAAAGAAATGCTTGTAATTGATTCCTGTAACTAAAT